CGGCATTGTCCCGCTTACGTGGCGTTATCCGCCTCCAATAGATTCCTCCTAAAACCCGGAGCGGAAAGCGAGTTAAGAGGCTGAGAAAAGAAATCGGAGGCAAACGTTGACGAATAATTGTGCGTGGTTGTTTTCCCCGCGCGTATTCCGGTAGAAATGTGCAACCACACGAGCGTAGGTCGCGATACCCGCGTACTCACGCACGCACACACGCACGCACGCACGCACGCACACACGCACGCACGCACACAAGCAGGCACGCACACACAGCGACGTATCACGGGCATGATGACACGACCACTATTATATATACAGCATGATAACCAGAAGTGATCGAGGAAGAGACGAGAGGAGGAAGGGAGAGGAGGGGGTGGGAGAGGAGGCGAGAGAAGTAAATTGGAGCAGGGAGACGAGGGGAGAACAAGAGGAAAAATCAGAAGAGGATAGGAGGGGTGGAGGGGAGGAATGCATGGGAAGAGGAGATGGGAGGAGAGTGGAGGAAAGGGAAGGGGAGGGAAGCGGCGAGGAGGGAAGCGCCAATCTCCAGTCATTTTTCTCACTCTAGTCGCTCGTTCAGCGTGCCAGCAAATTCAATTTGTCTGAAAGCAGCGCATGTGTGTGTGCGTGCGTGCGTGCGTGCGTGTGCGCGCGCGTGTGCATGTGTGTGTGTGTGTGCATGTGGGTGCGTGCGGGGAGTTGCGTCTACGCATGGATGGTTCCCCGATGGTCCAGATTTCGCCAAACGTAGAAAATTGCGGAGAAATGCGACGTACGTACGAAGGAAGCCGTAATCGTCAGTCATGGAACGAATTTATATTTGCAACAAGCGACAATTCTTCGCGGCGGGATCGTAACCACTGCCGCGGACGAGCGAGCGAACGGTAGGCGCGCTAAACGAATGCGAATAGTTGACGAGATAGCGCATAGACAGAGATGCTGAGTTCTATTCCACGCTCGCACGCTCGCTCTCCATATAGCGGCGGGCTTCGAACGTTTACAGCGGCCATGAACTGCCAAGTATAAAACAAACACACACACAGACGGACCGACCGACACTCTCCTTTCATATTGACAATTTCCGAAAACCGGGTCGTGTATTTTTTTTTATCTACATTAGCGTAGTGTGTGTGTGTGGGGTAGGGGGGGGGGAATCGATTACGTAGGCCTACTATTCTAGGAAGATCTTCTTCTACGGAATGTTTGAGGTAGATTACGAGCTCAGATTTCTTAAATTGAACGCAATCACTCGCATGTAGATTAGGGCTAGCGAACGTCCGGATTTCCAACAATTCAGTCTTGCACACACCTGTTTTTATGCACTCCTGCATGAATGCTAGAGACGCACTTTCAAGTGCTGACGTCATAGCGGCTGTCCCTATAACACGTCATTAGCAGCTGATGGTGATTATCAAGATGCCATTACCATTTCACTGAATTATTAACATAATTGTAACGCAGTCGTGCTATTATATATGCGCGTGTAATTAGGCCTATGCTCATAGACAGGGGTAGAATTAAAGAGAAAAAAGAGATGGTCCACAGGACCATCTAGTTTGAAATTTACATGGTCCTCCTAAATTTCAAATTGTTCTCTAAAAGTAATGCGGCGTGCAAGAAATTTACCGTAAAATGGGACCAAATTATTTAATGGTCCGTCGAACCATCGACTTTGAAAATCTGATGGTCCTCCAGATTATTTGATGGCCCCGGACCATCGACCCATCGTTTATTTCGACCCCTGCTAGATGTGATCGAAGAATGCGCCCCGGTTGCTACGACGCCGTCATTTTTGAAAAGGTCGTTTTTACCCTAGCCTTGCGTATCTACCTGCGCAACATCCCTGCCAGTGTTAGACGTACCCTCTCACGCGTCTTCTCCCTGATCAGTCAGCCGGTGATCCGCACTGAACAGTCACGCTCCCATATAATGTCCCGACTACATGTCTACCGCGTCTTCTTACTATAATTTTCGTGATCACGAATTTTGCTCACATTTTTTTTCAGCTTCTCACTTAGGGGTTTTCATTTGGGTTTCAATGGTCGCGAGCTTCTTTTTGCATGTGATACGGCCTATCTATCTAGTTAATTCCGGTCACCTCTTTGGTTCCTATTTTCGCCCCATGTTTCCGCACATTTCTTCCCCATTTTACCGCTATTCTCGTTTCTATGTTCCTTTACCTCCCTCGCTCGTATTTCAGGGCCACATCTGTCTCGCACTCTCTCCCTAATGTTTTCGCTCCTCGCAGCTCTCACATTCTCAGTTCTCATCCGATCAGACATACACACAGTACTGTCTCTACATAGAGACTATGTTCTCGCGTTCTCATCTCAATGTGTTCAATTATCTTTTATCCGCATGTTCCTGGGTTCTCACCCCAATTCCTGCCTCCCTGTTCATCCCACACCCCCATAACCGCATCATGAACTAGCTCCGTTCTCGGCTAACATATAATTTCATCTTCAAAGGCGACGAGATCGATCGTTTGGTTTGATGTTTACCCGGCACAAGAAATACGACATTTTTATGGTGAAGTAATTTTCCGGGGCGGAGAGACGAGTATTCTGCATGGCCGTGGCATTCGAACGACGTGTTCAATCGTTCACGATTTATCGCAATAGGAGATAGCGATCCCGCACGATATGAGCGACACATCCGCGTGACACGAATGCATCCAACACGCACACACGCATTCACACGCAACACGACACGCCACACACACACACACACACACACACACACACACACACACACACACACACACACACACACACACACACACACACACATACAAACACACAGCGCATATATATCTCTGTAACACGATGACAAGCGTGTATTTCATGAGAAGCGGTATAGCGTTCGTGTCGGATCAGCGGCGATGATAAATTCATACACGCGACAATTGTTGACACGCGCGAGTTGAAACGCAATAATCGATCCCGTCTCTGCATCCTCTTGAAACATATCGAACATACGCGGTCGTCTATATCTATTCATTTCTCTCGAATCGATTTCAATCAAATTCCGTCATCGTGACCGATTCCACATCAAACGAAATCATCAAACGAAAACAAATAACGACCATCGACGCCGCTCTGTCGTAACAAGCAATGAAAGCAACCGTGTTTTATTCAACGCATCGACGTCAACAAGTATTTTTTTCAACATAAAGAAAGTCGAGAGCACTGTACTGGTGCTGCAGCCGTCTGGTTGCGTATACGCGCAAACCCGGTGAAGCGATGCTTGATACTTTCCGCGAAGATCATTCTACGAGATCTTCCCAGTAGATAGCACAAAAGCAATACCGACGGAGAGCGCCAGAACGGACTTGTCAGACTTTCTGAAAGCTTCAGAAGCTATGTCTAGAACGTTTCGAACCGCATCAGTGTTTTAACATGAGTTCTACAGCATGGGAACGCACAACGAACAGGTATCTACCGAAAAATTGCCTTCGTAGAGATGTGACGATTCGCAAACTTTACAAGGGCATGTGAGTTAATCTTTAAGATTCGGATAAGGGGTCAGCCGCACTGCGTCCGGTACATGCGCACCGCTACAATAATTAACAGAAACACATTCGTCGCTTCACTGCGAACGTCTATTCTCGGGATTTCTTAACAAAACCGCTATCTAACCGCTAGTTATCAAGCTCCACTCTCAACATGAAGAATCCGGATTCCTTTCGTTATGAAGCTAGATGACTCCATCGTCACAACTACGGAGACAAGAGCCGGCGGTGGTCGCCCATCGTAGGGCTTCACAAGTCGGATCTGACCTTGAATCCGGGTCCGGTTGGTGGCGTGTTAAGAGACGTGAGGCCCGTCACCGGCTCACTCGTCGATCGCGAGTTTCTGTTAACAAAATAAAGTTAGGTAAACATTAATGCCATGCATTAGTGCACGCACACACGCGAACACGTGCACGCACATACACGCACGCAGGCAGGCACACAGGCACATACACACACGCGCGTACACATACACACGACGCACGAACGCAGGCGCGCACACGCACGCACAAACATGCACGCACGCACGCACTTACGCGCAGATTTATGTTGCACAAATATTAGACATGCGGCTGTTTAATGACAGCCACAGCTGTTATGAATGTCTACATGAGAGCAGAAATACACATCCTGAATGCGTCTTTCTGCTTCTGTCCGTCTGTATTTCTGCCAGCCTGTCTGTGTGTGTGTCTGTCTGTCTGTCTGCCTGCCTGCCCGTCCACCCGTCTGTCCATTCGTCCGTCTGTCTGACTGCCCCTATGCCATCTACTTTGTTGCTCTTCCTACATGTCCAGCGCTCTCGCCTTTCTGTAACCTCTAACGACGTGCACCCGCTTCCTTCACATCTATTTACTATACCTCGTGCGTGAAGCATGTGCGTGTGCGTGCGTGCGTGCGTGCGTGCGTGTGTGCGTGTGCGCGTGCCTAGATTTGCACAAATATTAGATATGCGGTTGTTTAATGACTGTCACAGCTGTTATGAAAGTGTGTGTATATATGTATATATATGAGAGCAGAAATACACATCCGGACTGCGTCTCTGTCTTTGTGTCTGTCTGTCCTTCTGTATTCATCTCTTCGCGTAAGGTTCATGTGTGTGCGTGCGTGCGTGCGTTCGTGCGTGCGTGCGTGCGTGCGTTCGTGCGTGCGTGCACGTGCCTGCCAGGGAAATTAATAACCGATACGCGCGCCGTATATGAAAGCAAATGATTAGCAGCAATAACACGCGGGTCGACAATTTAAGCGGTCCGTGTGTATTTGTTGTATCAAGCTTGGTTGTATCTATGTGCGATGCTTTCGCTACTGAACCCTTAGCAGCTTTTATCGCTGCGCACAGCTGCCGCCACACACACACGTGCACGCACGCACGCACGCACGCACGCACGCACGCACACACGCACGCACGCACGTGAACACACGTGGCACGTCACCACAGGAAGCAGGCAACCAACACAGCGACGAGCGAGGGCGAGAGCGAGAGAGACGAACCTATTATATAATACATCAATGATAACCAGAACTCGATCGAGAAGGACGACGAGAGGAAGGGCAGAAGAGGGGGGGGAGAGGAGCGAAGAAGTAAAATGAGCAGGGAGACGAGGGGAGACCAAGAGAAAATCAGAAAGAGGATAGCGGGGTGGAGTGGAGTATATTGGAAGGGAGAGGGAGGAAGTGGAAAAGGAAGGAGGGGGAAGCGGCAGAGAGGAACCCCAATCTCCAAGATCATTTTTCGACTCTAGCTTCGCTTCGTTAATCCGTGCCCAGCAAATTCAAATTTTCTGAACAGCACGCAGTTTGGTGCGTGCGTGCGTGCGTGGCGTGCGTTGCGGGTCGCGAGCGTGCAATGTGTGTGGTTTGTGCATGTGCGTCGTGCGGGAGTTGCGTCTACGGATCCACAGCGCCCCTCTCGTCCCCGATGTCCAGAATTTCGCCAGCGAGAAACTTGCGGAGACATGACGATACGTACGAAGGAAGCGTTAATCGTCAGTCATGGAACGAATTTATATTTGCAACAAGCGACAATTCCTCGCGGCGTGGATCGTAACCACTGCCTGCGCCATGAGCGAGCAGAACGGTAGGCCGCGCTAAACGAAATGCGAATAGTTGACGAGATACGTCATAGACAAGATGCTGAGTCTATTCCACGCCACAGCAACGCTCGCTCTTCCCATATAAGCGGCGGGCTTCGATATACGATTTACAGCGGCCATGAACTGCCAATATAAAATCAACATTCACTACACAGACGACCGACCGACAGCCGACGCACGCACGCAGCGCCACGCACCACGCACGTCCACGCACACACATTCCAACACACATCACACGACC